TAATGTGCCGCAAATTTACTATATGTTAAAATTGCTTCTATGTGTTCAATAGTTCAGCTTTTTTTTTTTTTTTTTCTAAACTTCTTAACTTATTTCTACTTGACAAGGTGACGCATCAGTTAGCTTTTAAAGAGAACAGTAAGACTTAAAAAAATGAATTATTATATTTAAAAGTCCGATAAATTGGTAAAATATTAACACTTAAGTGATGGCGGATAAAAAAATTTATATGCATTTACAAGGAAAATAGCAATAGTATACTTTTTCTGTTTGTTTTTTTTTTGTCCAAAATAGAAAAAGTGCCCGCGCAACTCACTTACTGCTATAATACCCTAACATTCATCCCTTAGATGTTTTCTCATGCGGTTTAAAGTTTTCAAGCTTTTTCCATTTCCCAACTTTGCCCAAAATGTCATTTTTTGAAAAAAATAAATCTAAACAGACAAACCGTTTCAATATTTTGCAATTATAGATCTTAATTTCAATCAAGAATTTAAAATCTAATGACGGTTTATTTTGCTCTTTATTTGTTATCAAAAAAATATAATTTTAATAACCTGCCTTAAACACATCAAATGGATGAACCATTGCAAAACAAATACTCAATGAAATTCTTATTTAGATCTTTTAAGTGTTTTTGCTACATAAAAGTTGCAAGAAGCCGAATATTGCAAGAAGCCGAATATTGAAAGCTCTGAAAACATTTCTAACAATGCTAACCACAATAGCCGCTACTAAAAGGAGTTTCAGCAAACTGAAAATTACTAAAAGCTACTTGAAATTGTCAAACCAACAACGCGGATTAGCCCTAATTCTTTTTTCCATCAAATGTGTATTGACCAATCAAATAAACTTTGATAAAATTTTGCGAACATTAAAGCAAGAAAAGTTCGGCTTTGAACTTTTGATATGGGACTAGTATTGTATTAGTATCGGATTACCTAAAGTTTCTTTTTATTAAAAGTTAGTTGTGACTTTCTATTTTTTTACATGCATACATTTTACATGCATTAATTATTGCTGTAGTCACTTAATTATCAATTTTTATTCTCCGATTTATTTAGTAGGGAAAGTTTGTGTAGCTAATGTGCCTAGGCCCATTTCACTTTGTTTGAAAACTATAAAGTTCTAAGTAATGCTTCTCTGTCAGGTGATTATTTAGAAATATTTATTTTTTAATCCTATTTTGACTCTCATAGAGCGTTGCTACGTAAAGTTATAATCAGAAAACACTATTTGATGGTCTAAAATAAGTTTTTGCCGTTGGCATGTTCGATTGTTTTACAATCTTAGATGAAATGCTTTTCTATAAGTTTTTGTATATTATATTGTTTGTTACTTAAGTACCAAATGCGATGTTCAATAAGTTTTCTCTCAACCGGTATATTTATGGCAGATATAAGCGATCATTTCCCGATATTCATAAAAATAAAAAACCTTCAATCTACGTCTGACTGTCAATCTAAAACCATACATTTGAAAAAACGAAATTTAAAAATGAGTAACACTGATAAGTTAACAAGTAGGCTAAAACAAGAAACGTTTTACAACGTATATAAATGTCAAGATACTAATAAAGCTTTCAATGCTTTTTTAAGTACATTTCTGGATTATTTAACGAAACCTGTCCGAAAGAGATTATAAAGTAAAAAGCAATTGCTAATCCGTGGATGGATAAATCATTATTAAAGTACTCAAAAAAAAGCAAAAACTTTACTATAAATTTCTTAAAAATAAAAACAATGATAATAAAAAAAATGTCAAAAGTTATAAATATTTTTATACCAAGATATCATTGAAAATGCCAAAAAAAAAAAAAATTACAGTAATCAAATTAACAAATGTAAATTTGATAGCAAAAAAACATGGTCCATCCTTTATTGTAATAATGGGAAGAGAAAAACTTTTCACCATCACTACTTAAACAAATTGTTATTGAAAACAACGATATATTTTGTCAAAAACTCATCTCGGATGAATTCAATAAATATTTTATAAATATTGGTCCGAACCTTGTCAAAAAAATAATACCAACATCTAAATCTTTAACGAACAAATAACGTTTTAATGCATGACTACAAATTAAGCTATGACAAATTTAAGGCAGCTTTTGCCTCTTTAAAAAAGAAAAAAGCACTAGGATTTGATGAGATACCTAGTGATTAGTTATTGCACACAGTCTTAATAGACCTCTGATACATATACTAAAGCTCTTGTTAAATTCTGGGATTTTTCCGAATGTACTTAACTTAGCAAAAGTAACTCCTTTATACAAATGTAATGATCATTCTGACATTACAAACTACAGACCCATATCAATACTTTCTGTATTTTCAAAATTCTTTGAACATGTAGTTTATAATAGAATCTATGATTACTTTATAAAATTTTTTTTTTACCCAAATCAGTTTGGCTTTCAAAAAAATCTTTTAACTGAGCATGGAATTATTGAAATAGCAAATCAAGTAACTCATGGTTTTGCAAATATTAAGTTTACTTTAGGAGTATTTCTTGATTTATCAAAAGCATCTGATACAGTGGATCATTGCATTCTTTTAGATAAAATAAAACATTACGGAATAGTTAATAAAACCTATTATTACCAACAGAAAACAATGTGTACATGATGTCTATTCTGAAGTATTAAATGTTTTATGCGGAGTCCCGCAGGGATCAATTCTTGGTCCACTCCTTTTTCTTATATATATAAATTACTTCTGTAATGCATCTTTAAAACTTAATTCAGTCATGTTTGCAGATGACACAAATCTATTTCTTACCAACAATGATATCAAAACATTATATGCTGACATGAATATAGAACTAATTAAAGTAAACAACTGGTTTAAAGCTAGCAAACTCTCGCTTAACGCTGAGAAAACAAATTATATACTATTCAATAAAAAAATACAAGAGGAAAATCTTCCTCTCATGTTGTGTAAACTATTCCTAAATGGTAAACTAATTAAAAAGCAATCCAATATAAAATTCTTAGAAATCATTGTTGATGAAAAGTTATCCTGGTTTCCTCATATAATATACATCAAGTCAAAAATCACCAAAATCATAGGTTTGATGTATCGAGTTCGCTCTTACGTCAATACACAAAGTCTGAAATTAATCTACTTTGGGCTAATACATAGCTTCATCAGCTATGTAAACATTTCATGGGTAAGTACTCAAACATTAAAGCTTAAAAAACTGTATAGTTTGGAAAAACATGCTTGCAGAATCATTTACTATAAGGATAGGCTCGAACACGCTAAACCTTTAATGAGTGATATGAAAATGATGAATGTGTTTGAAATAAACGTCTATCAGCATTTAATTTCATGCATCGTTACAATTACAGTATCTCCCCTATAAGCTTTAATAATAAGTTTGAGTTAAATAAAAATGAAAACTATAATCTTTGAGCAAATATGTTAAACACATATAAACTGCCTTGGAGAATAAATATTCAGAATATAGCATTTCATATCGAGGTCCTAAAGTATTGAATACCTTTCAAAAAGAATTCAAAGGTACGGTAAATTCGTTAAGTTGATTCAAGTTTATAACATTAAAAGCAATCTTTAATTTTTTTTTTAGATCTTTACGCAAAATTTAGATCTTTACGCAAATTTTGCGTAAAGATCTAAAATTTGAGAAACGTTTTTGGTTAATGTTACCACTCTACATTTTGTTGTTGTTGTTGTTGTTATTGTTGTTGTTGTTTAACAATCTTATTAGCGAATTACGCATTTTATTACGATATTTAATTGAAATTTTATCACGTATATATTTTACGAAATTTTATTACATATTACATATTTCGATATTTTATTGAAATTTTGTTAATCGGCCTCTATGAAAAGATTGCGATGACGTACTGTCATCCTCATTTTCTTTGAGCCCCTATCTGTTTTTACTTACTTTTTTTTTTATGAAGCACAAAGTTGTAAAATCCTTATGTTATATTAAAACACAAAAATTTTTTGCATGAAAAAAAATTCTTTTTCACAAAAGAATTTTTTTTCATGCGGTTGTTTTAAGACATTTTACGCGTAGATTTATAAATCAATTATGATTAGAACTATTATTCAATTTCGTTATTTATTTAAATATTGAAGTTAAGTAACGCAAGATAAGTTTGTTAAAAACAATCTAAGATTAAACAAGTTTTTAATCAAATTTATGTAATTATCTTTGTTGTTAATTTATTATGGAGTTAAACCTAATTTTCAGAGAACGGCCCTAAATACAATAGCTAGTGGCCCTAGGTTCAATTAAAAAAGACCTACTTGTATCTAGAGCCAATAATTTTTAAATCCTTCTACATGACGGAATTTTATAGTTTAAGTCAGTATACTTTTATAGTTTAAGTCAGTATACACTTATGCTAATACAAAGTAACTAGTATAGAGATGTGATCATATCACTAAAAAGTCTGGTGCCTTGACTTTAGGCATTGAAAAAATCTTGTCCTAGGTACACGAACTTCTTCTGCTATTTAGTACAATCAACAATGAATTGTAAATTAGTATTGTTCTTTTCTTTTTTTTTTCTTTTTTTTTTTTTGTGGACTGTTATTGAGAGACTATGCAATTATTTTCGTAAATAAGAAAAAATCAATAATTATTTTCTAGCTCTGTTAGAAACAGTTAAAAAAGTTGAAAAACTGAAATTTTTTAGTCTATCAAGAGCACCAAAAATTAATTAGTCGTGGACGTAAAAATCCAGCTACGCCTCACTTTGCATGAATTTAAAACACTGCTCCAAGCATTTTTTTGCACATAATATATAATTCTCCGAACACATTAATCTCATTTCTTCTTTTAGTGAGATTTTTTTATCCAATCAAATGTTTTGTTAATTAATTTTGTAAGTTCTTACGTTAAACAACATGACAATAGTACTTTGAAAACCTCCTTTTTATTTTATAACTCACTGCTGTGTTTGAACTTGTAGCGTATGCTGTTTTTTAAATGGATTCTAACTTAGTGTGATTTTTTGTTCAGGCTGATGGTCACATGACTACAAAAATAAATGGTGTAGAGGACTCGCACAAAGATAGCAACTCTGAAGAAACTTTTAAACAAATAGCTCAAGCAATTAATGTTGGTATAAGTAAAATTTCAAAAGATGATGTAAAAGGCAAATCATTATTGAAAATTGCAAATTTACCTGCGACAACTGATGCAAAACAAAATAAAAATATTGTGCTCATGGTAACAAACTCAACAAATAAAGATTCTATATCCAATGGGCATACAACAGAAAATATAGACGAATTCTTAACAAAAGCATTAACGGATATAATATCAAACTCAAGTGCTCAAGGAAAAGATTATATGATAAAAGACAAAAGTCTAGAATCATCAAAGCAGAACGAAGAAAATCGGAAAATTGTAGAAAAAGCCATGAAAGTACATGCCGCCAATCCCCATGTAGAACTACCTCTTCTGAAAAAGAACGGAGACACTATTATTCCAAATAAAGACGCCAAACTAGAGAATCAAAAAGATAGAGAAAAGGTTAAGCAACTAATATTTCCAACTAGCATTTTTAATAACTCTCCAAAAAACAACTCCGCTCAAAACGAAGGGTTAGCTAATTATGCAGAGGAAAATCTTTCGAAGTTGGTGGCAGAAGATCCTAACAATAAAGCCTTACTCGATAAAGCTTCGCATATGGAAGAGCAAGTTGCAGCTGCCCAGGAACGGTTGTTTTCTACATTATCTGATTCTTCTGATAAAAATGACAATTCCGTGCCCGCAAGTGGATCATCTGTGCTAACGCCCAATCTTGTAAAAACTAATTCTCATTCCACCTCTGATGAAATTTTCCCGCAAGCTCTGACATCACCTGGATTTACGGAGACTGAAAATACAGAGCATGGTCATACTTTTTCAAATTCTAACAACGAGCAATCGCTTAGATATCTAAACAATGATCGAGAAGGTGATCCATATAGTTCTATTAAAGAAGAAAATCTTCCCTATGAAGTACCATTGACAAGGCACACTTCACAAGAAGATGAAGCACCTGAAGAAGGTAAACATTTTTTTTATTGACTTATTTGCACAGCTACCATATTTTCTAATTTAAGCTTGTGCGTATAATAAATATCTTTAAAACTTTGCTTGGTTACAGCCGGAGTTGCTATTAGTATTCTCAAAAGCCCATATAATGTAAATCTAAAAAATGTAAAGATTTTAGTCCTGAAGTAAAGTGAAATTGAAAGATATATATTTGAGTTAATACTAAGTTAAACTTTTCTGTAAAGTATTTACATACACACGAAACGAAAGTCAAACTACATTTTAAAAAAACTATTTTATTTAGATTAATGTTACTAGTATTTTAATTTAGACTAACTTTTTTTTTATCCGTAACCACCAATACGCAACACAGCGGACAAGAATTTGCTTTGACGGGACAAAGTTCATAACTAATTTTATATTAGGGCTATACTCACTAAAATTAACATGAGTACTTATATGATGTCTGCACTTTTTATAAAGGTAACATTTTTTTTGTTGCTAAGGATACCTTTATTTTGCATAGCAACAACCTATTTTTGGTATTTGCAGCTGATATTTTGCGTGAGTACCAATATAAGATCACGCTTCTTATAAAAGTGATAATTTTTTATTTAGTTGCTATGGATACATATATTGCTTAGTTACCAGATTTTCCTTAGTTACAAAAGGGTGAATTAATTTTTGAACAAATTTTATCGGATTTTCAACCCACCTATATTGAATAACAATTAAGTATTTAGGTAAATAATGTTTTTGCAATAATAAAAACAAAAATTAGTACAAGAAAACATTTTCAATTTTAAATAATATCAAAAATTTATTAAACAATAGTATCGTATGATGATTTTTTAAGTAATTCTAAAACATCTGAAGGAAATGTTGTATGATTTTTTCCGTGTGATGTTGATTTAAACAGTAATGATATAACAGGATCACTGGAAACTAGGAGTCATTTAATTAGATTAGTATTTGTTGCTCTTCTGGATGTTTTTCAGCTGAAATTTTTGCAATAAGATTTAAAGTCTTTGTTTCTAGCCTCTTGAGCTTCCTCTGACATAAGTCCGATGGGTAATGGTTCTTCTAACGATTCACTTTCTCTTCTTGACAAGGTCCAAAAACGCATTGTAAATGTTGTTGGACCTGGACTATCTGCTAAGCTTGAACCTCTTTCCCATCGTCGCAATAAAGCAATAAAGTTGCATCTCTTTCTCTTTTCTACAGATACTATCATGGTCACTGCTCAAAGGAGTTATCATCTCTAGTTCCATCAACTAAAATTCATTCTCGTTTTACTCGTCATTCAGCTAAGTCTTACTAGTTTACTGTATCTGTCCCTGCATGCTCTAAAAACTTTTATTCATCTAGTTTTTTTCCCCGCACTTCAATCCTTTGGAACTCTCTCCCATCTTCATGTTTTCCTGACTCATACAACCTTCAACTTTTCAAGTCTTCTGTCAACCGTTTCCTTGCTCTATAACTCTGTTCTTTTTTTTTTCCTAGTAACTCCCAACTTAATAGTGGTTGCTTGCAGCCTTGTTGGGAGTGAATGTAAATAAAAAAAAAAAAAAAAAAAATTCAATGACATATTTAATGATATTTCTTTATTGTTTTAAGAATTGTCTTTATTTTATGAATAATCTCACCGTTTTACAAAAAAAATTATTTAACGAAAAACACGCTAAAAAGTATAGTTATTGGACATTTGACCGCTTACAAACATAGATTACGATTGTTTGAAATTCATACACTTTTTATAACTATATTTTGAACATATTTTATAACTATATTTTGCACATATTTTCAAATAAAATATTATTATTATACTTACGATTTAAAAAGTTCAATTCTCAACTTTTGTAAGAAAATTCGCTTTATAATGCACACACAGTACACAACAACAAAAAATATATATATTGCAGAGCTAGCCGGTAAAGAAGGGGTTATACGCATGCGCAAAATTGTTTACGCAGACATCTATGACAATATTGTAAAAGTTTTTTCAAATCTATTCTTATTTTTTAAATAAAATCTATTCTTATTTTTTAAATAAAATCTATTCTTATTTTTTAAATAGAATCTATTCTTATTTTTTAAACATAAGTTCTGTAGTGTCCAATAACTGTCCTGTCCAATAACATTTGTGGCGGGATAGCTCAGATGGTTAGAGCGTTAAAGGAAAAGTAAAAACCCGGGCTGTTGAACGATACGAGTTCAAATCCCGCCACCGTCAACTCTTGAGTAGTACTTCGGTACGCTAAAATGTTGGTCAATAACGGACGCTACTTTGGATTAGTCTTAATGACTATTTGTGGCTGTTCCTATGCTAAGCCAACAATATCTTCGGATATAAGAACATTGTATAGAAAAACATAGCATGGAAACTCAAATAAATAAATAAAAAATAAAAATAACTCTACTGTTTACCCAATCTGGTTTTTGTATTCTGTTCTCCATTCTTTTTACTTAGCTCAATTTCCTAGATTCAGGCTTGTTCTGCCATTGATACATTTCTAGTTTACAACACCCAGAGTGTTTTTTTTTTTTGATTAATTTTACTTTTGTAGAAGCTTTTTATTCATATCTTGCTTTATTTTAATTGAAATAGAACAAACAAATGTAAATAAAAAAATTTGGATATGAGACAATCTAAAACCTATTTTTATAAAGTCAGTTATCATATCAATTCAGAATTTTAAATCATTAGGGTTTGTATATTAGGATTATAACATTTTTACAACCAAAGTTTTAAATTTAATAAAAATTTACATAATAAAAATGAAATGAAACGTCATTTCAATATTTTTTTTAAAAAAGTCTCCCTGAAAATAAAAAGTAGGTTTCATTATCTTCTATGTATTGCGTAACATTGTACAATGTACACTATAAAATGTTTTGAAAATAATATTAATTGTAAATCTTATCGGTAAACCAATTGTCTGCCCAGTAATGCAATAAAAGTCTATCTACTTTTTCCAAACTCGTTCTTGTTCTTGGTATGAGAATGAATGCAAGGATAGCTACTTTCTACTCCTACCTTCTTCACTTTATTTCTCTATGTGATATCTTGTAAATTTTTTTTTTTTTTTTTGCATCATAACTAAAATTTAAACTGAAAAAACTATAACCATACGTATAAGATTGCAAGTTTATAAGTGGTTTAAACTGCAAAAAATAAAAAGTTAAATACACTTATATCAATATTTAAAAGATTGAGCCAAAAATGATAATTTGTTGTGATATGAAATGGGAATATCGGTTTCGAAAATGACGTCGTTATTTATGAAAAATGTAAAATGTACTTACATGGTGTAGTATTTAAATATAACATCATAAAGTATAAACATTTATACTAAATGATGCGTTTTGCGATGCAGGTATTAATCAAAATAGTATATATATATATATATATATATATATATATATATATATATATATATATATATATATATATATATATATATATATATATATATATATATATATATATAATATATATATAGAAACAATTGAATTGAAAATTTTGTTTTATTAATTTTTAATAACTGTTTTAAATTAGACGATGATGACGATGAAGAAGATCACTATAGGGTATCTAGGCGAAGACATCATCATCATTACATGCCTGAACCAGACGAGGTAGGTTTTACAAAATTAAATATTTGAATTAAGTTAATTATTTTGCTAATAGTTTTTTGTCAACCTCTTCAACAGAAAAGTTTTAGTCTTTTATTCATCAATATTCTTAAATCTATCGTTTTTTTTTAAGTCTTCCTTGCTTTTTCTGGTTCCTTCCCTTTTAAGTCTCTGCTATTATTTACAGAATTTACATCTCAACAAATAAGATTTGTTAAACAACTAAAAGTTAATTCTTTATTTTTGTCTAATATATTCTGCGCATTTTAAATTTTAAAGTAACTACTTCATTAATTAGCCCAACTGTTGCATAATGCTAAAGTATCAAAAAGACAAATGCTATAAGGTTGTTTTAAATATTCAGTAAACTCTCGGTTTTGCGACCGGGACCTATTAAAAGTTTACGTTTATTCGCGATTTCTATTTTGCCGTGGAGTTTCCTTCGCAAACTCGTGCAAATTTCATTAAGTTATTCAAAACTTTGAAGTGATATTTTATTTCCTTTAACACAAGGTTTATCAGTTTTTGTAGTTAATTAGAAATTTTAACTTATTGTTTGAAAACGCTGTTTTTCCAGTCTATAAATCAGTACTTTAAATAAATTTTACTATTTTCAGTGAGTTCTTGTAGACAAGGAATTTTCAAACTTATGTTGTCTTCCGAATTGACAATCTTTCCTGTAATTTTAATGTGGCAAATGTTGTTTGTTATGTTAACGAGATTATGGGACGCTGTTTTTGCAAATATTATCTTTAAAAAGAAGGCATCTCACAAGAATAACATGTTGTATGTATTGATGATTAAAATGATCCTTTCAAATTGCACGAAGAGAATGTTGATTTGTTGATGGTTTAGTAGATACTTAGTAACCTTGGTGTTGACGGTTACGTAAACATTGATAATGATGTTTGTACAAGTGAAGCAAGTGCGATCATAGATCTGCTAGAACTATGTCGTTTCAAAGAGATTTTTTTTTCTTTAAAAAGATGTCTTAAAATTCGAAATATAATTTGTTTTTTTATTTTTCATAAATTGCACATTAAAACATAATACCATTAAGGTAAAAAACTACACCACATCAGATTATTTTTTGTATAATTTTCACCCATAAAAGTATTTTATATATTTGCTTTGTACATGTTCATGTAAGCGTTTAGGGTTGTTTTTCCACTCACTGACGAATTTTTCTTCGTAATTAAGCCTGGCAGATTTCATCAATTTAGTAATATTTTTGGATGCGGTGCGATGTGATTCTTTGAGTAATTGGTACGCATCGCGAACTGCATTAATAAACTTGGCCCAAGAGGCGCGTTTAGCTTTGACCACCTTAATAAGATCTGGTGTTACCCATTGCTTCTGTTTTTCAGTGAAAGGAGTAGTTGTTGATGGGATGTATAGACTGATAGCTTCATTATACACGTTTACTAGGAGCTGGTAGCTATCGTTTTCATTTAGACCAGTGAACTCTATTTCCCAATCAACAGCTGCAACGTACGAGGATATTGCTGCGAAGTTTGCTCGGCTTCCAATAAGTCAAGGTCGTAATGACAAAGTAGACAAGTTGTCAGGACCTACAACAGCGAGTTGACCCTTAATGAAGCAGAGCGCCTGGCCCATTGTAGTGTTACCGAGAGAATCAACTTGTTCGATGAAGATGGCACGGTCTTGCTCGTTTGTTATGATCAGATCAAGTGTGCTAGTGTTCTCGATGTGTCGACTACTACGGTACGTTGGGAATTTGACAAACTGAGTTAGATGACATTCATCAAGGCACTTTTGAAACCTGATATCGCCTCGACGCTCATCTCTCAACACGTAGGCAACTGTTGCAATGCCACCGTTAACTTCGATAGACTCATAAGATGTATGGCTGAAATTGAAATCTCCATATAGTAGCATTGTTGAGCAGTTTATATTAGGCAGTATCTGCTGAGCGACCGTGATTGATGTGATACACTAAGTAAGAACCTGATCATTAAGATCGTGAGGACGATATATGCAGCAGAGGAGAAACGATTCTTCGCCTGTTTTTATTTTTCGCCAAATTAGCTAAATTGATGTTGAGTTGAGCTGAGTAGAATTAACTTCATTGACTATAATATTGTCTTTTGTGTAAATGGCAACTCCATCACCCCTATTTTCTCTGTCTTTACGATGAGGTTGGTAAAATACCCCTTCCAATAAGAGGGCTCTGTGAATGTAGGGGTTCATTCGGAAATTTAGGGGCCCTTTTGAAAATTTACAAGTCTTTTTTTATTTTTATTTAGTAAATCTTGTAAAAATTTGGGGCCTTAATGGCAGGTTCTGGGGAGGAAGGAAGGGAGGAAGAGGGCTCCAACCCACTAACCATAGCACGTGTATAATAAAATTTATGTGGTTATCTTTTTAGCTTTGTAGTAGATGTCCTAACAACTTAAATAAAATGTTTAAATACAACAGTTTAAAGTGAGATATATTTAAAAGTAGCAGCATTTTATTCAATTTAAATAAGTTTCCGATCTGATTTTTTTTTATTTTGTATTTTCTGTTACTTGAATAAGTATTTAAAATTATTAATAATGCACAAAAATTAAAAACTAGACATAATTTAGAAACTAACTTTTTTGTTAAAGGTTATAGGTTTATAAGTTAAAAGTTATAGGTTTGTCTTGTCAAAAATTGCTTTCATGAAAAGTAGAAGATTTTGTAATAAAATAATAAAGTTTTTGAGTAACTCAAAGTTATTTAAAGAAATGGTCAATAAAATAATTGTTGATTTTGTTGCATGTACTCATGCAATCAATATATTCACTAAAGCATCATTTTGAAAATATCCAAAAACCCTAAAATATGTTTAAATGTTGATTGTTAATGCCCTCAATTACAAAAAGTTCTCGTATTAGACTTTCATTGACATTGCAATCAGATACATAAAAAAAGGAGACTTATACAATGTAAAATGGATTATAAGAAATCTGTTTACCAACATAATATTTTTATCTTATCCATATGAAATTATAACGTTAGAGGAAACAACGAACTAAGAGACACTACTTTGTTTGAAACTACTCGTTTGAAAAATAATATCTCCTTAGGTGAATCAAAACTTAAGTAAGTCTAAGTAACTCTTCAAGTAATCCTCAAGAATTGAATTTTCAGAACCTCAAAGATTGTTATGAACCAATATTTACATGTAATTTTTCTAAAGCTGAAATCTCCAAGGTGATTATAAAACTACAAGTTCTTAAATTTAGCATTCATAATCAAGCAATATAACGCTGCGACAAGAGTGCTATTAAAACATCTGCTATGAAGCGAGAACTTAATTTCTTAGAACTAGAGTGATGCAAAAAAGCTTATATCTATAAAACAAAGAAAGATTCCTTTAAAAAATGTAAATAAGAAATAACGGAATAATGTCTTTATTCAAACGGATGGAAACGTTTTTTTGTAGATTTTTCTAACTTTAACTAATAATTATAATATTTAAGCTTGTGTTAAATTAAATGTTTTGTTTTTAAAATAATGAAAATATACTTCCTATACAAATTTAAAATTTATTTAGTGATGTACCACCTTTCAAATAAGAGTTTTGGACATTTTAAATAATTTTTTTCAAAATAACTTTTAATGAACTTTTAAATTTATTTTAAAATGGTAACTATATGAGGTGGAATAATTTTTTGATGAACAACCTTTACATTATGGATGATGATTTTTTTTGGAGAACGAGGGAGCACAGTAGGATATTTTTTATCAGAAGGTGAATTAATTTAAAAATTAAAGTTTTCACTCAGGCGGTTCATTGCGCTCACAATTTTTTTACAGGTTTATAAAGATGGCATACTTTTTTACTCAATTAATAATTAGGTTTTAACGAATGATGGCGGACAAAAATAATAATTTTAGATAATAGCACTTTTTTTCTCAAATTAGCCACAATTGTTTTGTCTGGCAGAAGGCATTTTGATTAGACAAAACAATTGTTCATTCTGAACAATTGTTTTGTCTGACTGAAGGCATTCATGAAATTAGCAAAAGTTTTGATTTCATTTTTTGTTTTTATTAATTTAATATTAAACATAAGTTTTTTTTTCCAAAATTACTATTTTCTGTGTTTTAATGTCAATAGAAAATTTAGCTAAAATTCAGTACCATTGAAATTGTGCTTTATTTTTGTTAAGAAAAATGTTAAGTAAATAGTTTACATTATTATATCAAAAATAAGTCCAATTTAAAGGAATATAATATTTTGATTTTTTATTAATGACATTACAAAATAAATAATTTAATCTTTAGCAATTAATTTGTCTAAAAAATAAACTCCACGTGACATTAATTCGTCTAAAAAATAATCACGTGAGCATGCGTAATAAAGGTTTTTATTTGTCCGAAAGAAAACTGCGCATGCTCACGTGATTATTTTTCCGTTCCCTTTCCCTTTCCCGTTGAAAAACGGATGAGTGGAAACTCGCCTTAAGTTTGTGTATTTGAAATTTATTTGAATGACTAGTTTGGATTTTTTTGATCGCAATAAGCAAGAATAGTAAAAAAAAGATTTTAACATTATCTATAGATGTCGAATTATGTTTAAATATTGGAACCATTCCAATTTAGAATTTTTTGTGTGTGCGCTTTAATGCGATGCGATTTAGTTTCGTGGAGTCGGTGAAACTTAAAAAACGAATTATAGATTTACATGATTCTTAAACGAACTAGTTTGATATTAAAAAAAAAAATTTCAAAACCATCATTTTAGGAGGTTCTGCTTAAGATTAGCCCACGTGTAGTTGTAAAACTTGACAATTTTAAAGTTGAATAAAAATGATGGAATGAAAACAAATAAACCAATCAGTAAACACATAAACAATTTATTGTCTAATTTCTAAAATATATTAGTTTAACAATTAACATTGAACAACTAATTGTATTTATAAATAATTCTAAATTTATTTTTTAAGGATGATGATGGAAATGAGGATGATGAATATGACAACGATGAATTACCTTACGAAGACAAACGTAAAAGAACTCTGTTAAACAAACAAATGTTATCCACTAAAAATAAAACAATCTCTGGAATTCATAACTTTATTTTATCACCTAATATCTTATCTCACGATAAATCAAATGAATTTTTAGAAGATGAAAGTAAAAAATCCATTATACTTGGCGGAAAAAAAAATTCACAAATGAACCTAACTCTCAAGAGCACGAAAAATTAGTTGCTCACAATATTTGGAAACGTTAAATTAGTTGCTCACAATATTTGGAAACGTTAAACAAACATCCTCAAAAAACATTTTATCCCATTTCTGAAGGCATTTAAGTTAAATACAAATTTCGTAAATTCAATTCGATAATTCAACTTAGCAAAGCATTTTTTTACTTCAAATTGACGATGTAAAAAAGGTTTAGGGGGCATGCAACAACTTTACAATGCTGAAAAGGTGTATTCTTTTTTATTAACGAATAATATTAAAAATCTCGATCATTGTCATTAAAGCTTATTAAAATTTTCCAATGAACGGTGGCAGTAAAAATGGCATCAGAGAAACTCTCTATCGTATAGATTTGATTGGACTTTACATCAGGTGATCAATTTATTTTAGCCAGCTGAACTTTCTCTGATTTGGCGATAAATTTTGTAAAACTTCTAGTCTGTAGCCATATTAACTACCTTTGACAAATCATCCTCAGCTTTTAATCTTTCGCCTATAAAAATAAAAAAATGTCGATATATTGAAATTTAAACATTTGCGACGTTAACACTAGTGACGTCATATGAACTTCGTAAACTATTTTTTATATTATTAACTTACGTTATATTAACGGCCACATTCTTAAAAAAGTTAGACAAAAAAAAAATCTTATGTTAATATTTAGAAATAAAACTTTATATGAATATAAGAATGAAATTTTTCATAAGTTAAATATATTGAATACAAGTATCTAAAGCAAACGTCAAGTGTGGTTGTAGATGCTTTAAGCATTGACAACTTGCAGTTGTTGTATTAAAGAGTTATGTTTCAAGAAAAAAAACTAATGAAGTCTTTCCATATTTTTTTTTTTTTTTTTTTTTTTTTTTTTTTTTTTTTTTTTTTTTGCATGTCTCTCTAAGGCGACAATTACAAAACCCTGAAAAAAAAAATCTGATATAAATTCTCTGCTCTGAAGAAATGTTTAGATGAAAAATAATAACTGTAATATAATTTATCTTAAATATAACTATAGATAGATAGCCAAGTCGTCCTAAAATTTCACGATGTCTTAAGTTGATTAAGGTGAGTTAAAACTTATAATACATAGGAAAAGTTCGTTCCTACCGTACCGTTTACGTAAAAATATAAATTAGAAAAAAGTGACAAAAATAACCTTTATGACATTAATATGGTTTAATAAAGTTTAGGTATGCATAGATTTGTACCAATGAAATGTCATAAAACAGACGCGTTAAAGTTCCAATTTTAAATAAATTTTAGCGTTGCGCATATAAATGTTTGCAGCTGTCCGAATAGACATTTTTGAAATAAATGTTTTATTAATGTATATTAAAAGTTGTTAAAAAAAAGATTATAAATAGGAGATATGCATACAGCGTATTATTAGGAGACACAAGAACTTTTTATCACTGCAACAAATTTTATTTCTAAATTTCTGATTGTGACCATGGATAAATACTTTGACGAATATGATCATTACAACTACGAAAGAAAATACAACGAGCGTCGTACGCGAAAAGGACGAACAAAACGAGAGGCAGAGGCAAATAAAAACAAAGAAAATCCATCTGGACACGAAAGAAAAGTTATCGAAAAGTTCAAAAATACTGAAAAAACAAAAAGATTTATTAAGATAAAAAATAATAATAAAATAAATAGTTTAAACAAAAAGAAGAAATAAGAAACGAGGTGTTGCAATCAACTAAAAACAATTTTACAAGTCAGTAAAATGATCATCAGATTTTGTTTATTTTACAGATGGCGTATTCTCCTCTCACTGCCAAGCTTCAACGAAGCATTTTTTCAAAAATTCAGCGAAAGCATTTTTAAGTGAAAAAAATTTTTCAATATATTTAAAATTATATACTTATTAAATAATTTTTTATTTGAAAAAAAAAATTAAAGTTTTAACTGTTCGATTAAATTTAACAGAGATGTGAATGCGGTCGCAAATAAATACTTTTTATTTAATTTTCTACTAAAATTTTTTTGATGTTGAATTTTTACAAATACATGTTTTGAAAAAAACAAGAAACGTTTTTTATTGGCTCATACATCAAAATTTTATGAAGAAAAAATATATTTCATTGAACTTGTGCATATTTTCGCATTAAAAGAAACCGAATTTTCATGAACCGTGTCGTTAAAAAGGGTAAATTGAGAATCATTCCATCAGATTATCATCATCCACTCTTTGTTCCATCATTCTTTTTTACTCTTCATTCTATCATTTCTCATTACTCTTCATTCCATCATTTATCTTAACTTTTGATTCCATCAATCTTTTCCACTCTTCATTTGATCATTCCTCACCACTCTTCATTTCATCATTTCTCTTTACTTTTCATTCTATCATTTATCTTAACTTTTCATTCCATCATTCTTTTTCACTCTTCATTCGATCATTCCTCAACACTCTTCATTCCATTATTTATCTTTACTTTTAATTCCATCATTTCTCTTCAATCTTCATTCCATCATTTCTCTTCAATTTTTATTTCATCATTTTCCTTCACTCTTCATCCCATTATTTCTCTTTACTCTTCATTCCATCATTTCTCTTTTCTCTTCATTCATCAAAGATAATTTTCACATGCGGTTGACGTAACTCCAAATTTGCTTAAACCTCAAATGTCAAATCGAGAAACAAGAATACACAATTTTAATATCTAGAACCATATTAGGAAATAATTTTAGATCGATTTGTACACTTAGCTAACCTGAGTGCTTAAGCACCTTTATAAAATTTAGAAACTCTATTTTACTCCTAAATTATATTTTATAGTAAGAAATTAAATAAAAAAGCCAATCAGTTAACATAACAAAAAAACGGTTTAAGATCAAATCCTTTTAATAGCGTTAAACACATTTACTCTGAAAGTATTGAGATATAGCAAAATATGTATTTATAAAATAACTTTGACAATGTAGAAGTTAAACACAAACTTTTGATTAAAATTCTAACTTTTCTGTTCTTAGTAACTTAATGTTTGAAATGTGAAAAAATTTTCTAATAAAAATGTGATAAATTAGATTATATAAGCATAATTGATTTCGAAAATTTCAAATTATTTAATTAATTGGTTTTAAAAAAATGTAAAATTATTTATTATATTATAAAATAGCTCTTATATACTCACCAATAACCATAGATCCATATAAATTACAAGGTCACAGATCCTTATAAATTACAAGGTCATAGATCCATACAAACTGCAAGGTCATAGATCCAAATAAATTGCAAGGTCATAGACCCATATAAACTACAAGGTCATAGATCCATATAAACTACAAGGTCATAGATCCATATAAATTGCAAGGGCAGTTTTAAAAAAATGACAATTTAAAAGGTTAGCATGATTCTAAAACCTTTCTGCATTCATCAACTAATTATTGCTATACTAAATTTTATATTAATGCCAATTCTAAACAAGCGTCTGCTTGCAACTAACATTTACACAGTAAATGTCCTAAGTAAGATATTGCAAAACCATTACTCTCATGCTTAGCAAAAAGACATTAAAAAACAATTGTGCAAGCTAAACTCCTAAAGGTACGTGGAACAATTTAATTATTTTGTTATTGTAAAGCAATTTTATTTATTAATTAATTAGTTATTGTAATACATTTATTAAACAATAATAATAAAAAATTTAATAAACATTTAAAAATGATTAAAATTACATTAAGTTCATTAAAATATTAATTGATGATTAATACTCGACAAGCATTTAGTTTTTAGTATCCCTATATACCTTATTCTACCCTACAGAAAAGTCTTCACAACTAGCCAGATTAAGTCTTCACAACTAGCCAGCTTAAAAATTATAAAACTGAGGTTAACAACAACTTACTAGTAATCAACAAGTCATATAAGCAACGGGAGAAGTCATGTAAGCATTTTTATGGAAAAAATATTCTTATGTTAATTTATAGTTATTCATAATATAACGTTTTTTAAAGAGTGAATAATTTAATTTAAAATGATTATTATTTCTTAGTAATATTACTATATTAATTATTAACTATTTTTTAGCAATATTACTATATTAATTATTAACTATTAATTATAACAATTAAATATTACTTACGGTATCAATTTATTATATAATTTAATACAAAGTAAAATAAATTTATTGAAATATTTAATTGTAAAAAATTCCTTTAACTCATCCATAATATTATAAATAAATAAAAAAAAGGCATTAGAAAAACCTGCCTAAACCACACAAATGTGGATCCATAGACATAGACACATTTCTAAACCGTTAAAAACATTGACATTGAACTTTAAAAATAAAAAACTTTATAACTTTATTCACTTGACTAATATCTGTGTGAATAACTAGAGAGGTAATGACAAATACAAGCCTTCTTAGGACCGCACACATATTTTGAGAAGGCTCATAAATAATAATAAATCCACTTATGCACAAATAACATTTTAATTAAACAACTCACGAATTAGCTCTACAATAGCCTTTTGAGTACGTTTTTCAAGCTTATCCATTCTATTTGTGACATCTCGTTTTAAATCCCTAAATAAAAAGGAATTGATTAATGTACAGACACGCACACAAATATTTGATGAATAACAAATCTTACCAGTCTGGTTTTCTTGGTGCTAACGTTGTAAGATCCTTAAAAAAAATTAACAAAATCTCAAAAAAAAAATACATTGTAAACAAAAAGGTTTACAAGGTTTTCAAATTTTTTTAAAAAAATGCTTATTAAACTGCATAGTAAACAAAAAAATGCAATGTAACCTAGTAAAGCTTTACAAAGAAAAAAAATTTTATTTTAAAAACAGATGGACAGGTTTATAACTGTCATTCTAGTGCGGTTTAGTATAAACACTTGCCCTGTTACACTAAGTAAACATTTGCAGCCTGCACTTGCTGGCAAAGCAGTGTTCAGTTAAAAAAAACATTATTCAAAAATGGAGAGCCATGAAATTTATCAAGTGATGAATTGGTGCTACAAATGTATGTTAAAATAACATCATCATTAGCAGTACTAGTATCATCTGACCATCTAAAGTGAAAGAAATCATCTTCGATTTCAGATACAACTTTATCTGTTGAACTTACATTTGCACTTTCACTATTTTTAGCCAGTTACTGGTATTGAATCTTATTCTCCAGAAACTCCCCACTAATTTTTCTTTGTTTTTTGTCTTTAATTGAAACTTTCTTAAATTCTGAATAGATAATTGCTAATGCTATTAGTTTTGCATTTATAATATGTTGATTGAACTTGCTATCTATGATAGAATCCATGCTTAACACCATTGGTTTGCAACATTAGATTGAGCTATTGCAAAAAAATTTACTAAATTTACTTTTTCAAAGTCATTATAGTTGGCAGCAGTTATGCCATTTAGATCTTTGTCTACCATTGAGCAGAAGGCTATATTACTAAGATATCTACTACTTGAGCAAGAAGCTTGATTAAAGAGACATACTCTGCAATTAATGCTACTTTAGCTTATCGTAACTGACAAATTAAGTCACAAACTTTATTCACCACATTTATGATTTTAAATTAGATTTAGTAAGAATGTCGTCAATGCATATTTTATTTCTTGCTCTTTATTAACTCAAATGCTTGATCCAATAAACTGTAGTCTTTGATTTTATTTTGAATACCATATTCTGAGCGGATCTGTTCTAGAACAGCTGCTAATATATCATACAAGAGATGATATATTAGCAGCTGTTTTTTTCAAGCGCTGACATGCCAGTACAGCGGATGCTCTCTTTAAAGTTGACTCTTTAATTCAGGGTACTGTGACACAAATGTACAACCAATGAGCTGACCTAGAGCCAGTTTAATTGCAACAAAATGTTGTTTTTGTAACAGAATAGTAACTTTCTGAGGCATGATTTGGTATTGTTCACCTAATCATATCATGATTATTTTGAGAGATTAGTATTCAGTTTGGAGTAGTTTTAAAGAAATTCAAGTTATAAACAACTTAACAGCCGCTATACAAAAAATATACACCTTAAATAGATACACTTTACAAAAAATACCATTAAACTATGAAACTTGACCAACTCTTATACATACCTCAACATGTTTCTTAAGATTAGATGTAGAGTAAGTATATACTGAGGTTTTGGTGGGCAAATCAATCAAACAAATTTACAAAGTTGGTCAGTAACTTTAATACATTTAAACATTGCATTTAAATGCAGCCATGAACCTAGATGGAGATTCAGGTTTATCACCTTCAACAGCACTACTGATATCAACAAATATTAAAGCCGCATTTTGTCATTAACTTTTTTAAACAGCTAAAAAGTTCAGTTCTAAAAAGTTCAGTTCACAAACAGCGTTAGGTGTTTAGTTTGCATATTTTGTGTGGTCAAGCCTTGCATAGTTGAAGTCTAGCAGTACTGTTTGGGTTTTGTGATTTTGTGCATATTACACAATATATTCAAACTTTCTGTGCTAAAAAGAACCCAAAACCTGTTGAAATAAAAAAAATATAAAATTTTAATCTTCTCTAGTAATAAACTTGTAGTGCAAATACACGGTATTATCCAATGGTAGTTTTGCGGATCTGCACTATCCCTAATGCTAAAAAGTTCAAGTACATTTGCACTTTTTTTTTTGAAAGTAATTCTTTTCAATTTTTTTTCTGATAGTAATTCTTTCTTGGTTTAAAATAAAAAAAGTAAGCCTGAAAAGAAACAAAAGTAAAAGTATTGTAATCAAATAAATATACTTTGCTACACGCAAACCCTGAAGAAATAGGGCATACATGGACATAAAGAGATGCATAGGATATAAAGACACATCAGCAAACAATCAATCAAACAAACAAACAAACAAAAAAGAAGTTTGATAACAGAGTATTAGCCCTCAGAATTAGGGTCAACAGTTAGCAATGCTGACCTAACTGAGGATCTTGAAACGTTTGAGGTCAACAAAAAATTGCCAACCTCTTTTGTATGTTTTATGGTAAAACTTTTGTGTCAAATTTTTATTGCCGACCACTTATAGATTAAGGTCAGCAAAATATTGCCGACCTCATTTTTTGCTAATTTTGAGGGCTGATAATATAGATGCATATAAAGATTACAAGTATTAATTTAATGCAAAATAACTTTGGTATCTTTCTTTGTAAATAAATTTAGTTTCTTTGGTATTAAAATAACTTTAGTATCTGTCATTTTGTATTTGTAAAAACAAAAGTTCTAAAAAGAGCTTCGAAAAGAGAATATTGTAATGTTGCAAAGGTAACCCACCTAGACAACAGTTTTGTCACAGGAACAATATTATATTATAAAAATAACAAAAAACAATATTGCAGAACAAAGTATTGACAAAAAATTGAAGCTCATATTTTACTGCTATCTTAATGTTATGTTATGCTATCTTAATCAAGGCCCCATTGGAGCCCTTTGTTATGGCTTAGGGTTTGTTAATAGAAATGAGGCAATTGCTTGGGCTATAAAACAGTGTACTGAGTACTATCTATGTTTCTAGTCAAGTTCTTTAACAAATCTAAAAATGAATAACAGGCTTTCACAGGATGACGTGCAATTTCGCATCTTTATATGACCACGCAAGTTACACATTGCTATGACGGTTTGACCGCGGCTAATTCAAAAAACATTTTAGAAATGTGCTAAGTAAAAAATATTCTAAAAAAGTGAAAATAATTACATCAAAACTTCTTATCAAATGTTTTTATATTAGCAAAACGATTTTGAATAAAGTAACAATTTACTGAAAAAAAGTTTTGTTTTTTAAATATAATTGACATTTGTATATATTTTTTTAATTTAAAATTGTTTAAGTGCTCATTTCTAAAATAAATCTTATTTAAAAAAAAAAAATTGTTTTGTTTTTATAAAGGATGACATTCTACGAAATAAAACTGTTGTGTGATAATTGGAAAAACAGGCTGGACACAGTCCAACACCACATAAATGACATTGCCAACTTGTGCGGACTCGAGTTTGGTGCCCAGCTACACATTTTTTTTTTCTCCTTCACCAACCTTTACAAGATTGTGACCATATAATGGATTGCTATTTGCAGTGTGTTGGGTTAGTGGGTATGGCACAATTGTACTTCTAGCCACTTCAATCTCTCTTGATATTCTTCTTTTAGAAATTACTTTTACTGGAAATAAACCTCCGGCTAAACTTTCCACTATAGCCATCATAAAATCTATTCTTGACATTGGCTTTTGTTCATTTGTATTGAGCTTATACAATAAATAGCTATTTAAAATTGCTCTACCAAATAAAGAAAAAGCAACTTTAGTTGTCCACTTTATTGTTTTATGCTCAGACAAGTACACATAGAGCTGCGCATCACCCAAATCTACACCTCCCCCCCCCCATGGTTTTATTGTAAAGGGCAACAATATTTGGTTTCATAACTATATTTCCTTTTCTGTTACGCATTTCAGTAAAACCTGCTTTGGCAACAGTAGATAATAATATAGGCTTTTTTTTACCATCTTGGTATGCCACACACAACAAGGGACCTTTTCTATATTGGCATACCTCCTTATTTTTTAATTTCGATTTAATGCAGGTTTCTGGTAGACCTTTCCTGTTGACTCTCACTGTGCCTGTTGCAGTGGTCTGATGAGCATATAGATCTAATAACAGTTGAGGAGAAGTATAATAATTGTCAATACCTAAGTGATGACTTGGTGGAGGAAATTAGTTTGGCGCAAAAGACGAAAAACTAAACTATAAGTTATACCATAGGCAATGGCTGTTACATCTGGGTCTTTTCCTCCCTTGTAAATTTCAAATTGACACAAATAGCCGTTAGTGCTGTCTGAAACACACCATAACTTAATCCCAAACCTAGAATGACATTTGTTTGGCATATATTGACGCAGATGTGGAGTCTTTCCTTTGTAGCCAACCATACTCTCATCTATAGAAATGTCTTTTTGAGGATAATAATAATATAGAAATTTGTTGTTAAAATGTTCAACTAAAAACTGAATTTTATAAATTTTATTGAGTGGTTGTTGATTTGGTATATGGATGTCTGTAAAATGAAGAAATTTAAGCAAAAGTTGAAACCAGTCACGATTGAAGTGGGTAATAAACCAGGGAGTAGATGCACAAGGATGACTTATATCCCAGTAAAGTTTAAGATTAGCTTTTTTGATGAGACCCATGTTGATTACGACTCCAAGGAAAGCTCTTATCTCTAAAAGATTGGTCTTTCCTTGTTTAATCCATCCATGACCTCTTGATGTTGGATAGGACCTCAAATGTTGTTGATTGTTTTGAATCCACGTGTCAGCATATTTATTTGTAAAATTTACTATATTTTGCAAAAATTCAGTAGTAAAAAACAAGTCCATATATTCAATAGGCTTAGACTCAGGTGAAATTGAGTGGTTGGGTCCTTTTTCACCAGTAAAGTGAACAACATTAGGACCATTTTTATCTTCTAGAACAAATAACCAATCGTCATAAATATTACCACCAACATCACCTACATCAACATCGCAATCAGAACTGAAGTCTACATAAAAATTAAAAAAAAAACTTCAAATTATCATACTAGGTGATATATTTGTATTAAATAATATTGTTTACAATTTTTTAATTAAAGTTATCGTGCCTTCATCAAACAAACTGTCATCGCT